TAGCTTGTGAATCCATGGTCTTGTTAAAAAAATGGAGAGTATCAAGATTTCCACCGATTCCAACAAGGCAGGAAGTATGGATAGCTATCCTGGTGTGCACCACCTATCTGTCATAACCCACAAAAGTCTCAAGTGAAAATTAGAAACTCTGATCCTTGATATCAAATACACAGACCAATTTTCCCTTTATATATGAGATATCCATCCCTAAGTATGTGTTTGTTTTGCAGGAGGTATGAACATGCCCACTATATAGGACATATTTTTATTATGTACAAACATATGTATACACTTACCATGCTATTCATTTTTGAAGATGAGGAACCTGCCCTCTGCTTTCTCAGACTGCTAACTTCTTCTATATTTCCATCCTTTGGTTTCAAAATCGTTCTGCTACTCCCTGCAGTTCCTTCTGACGAGGATCGCAGCCGTCTCTCTATGAATCTTCCTTCACGATATGGGCTGAAGCTACTGGCTAGAACTATTAAGGGAGAAATGAATACAAATTAACACAGATAGATACTTAAGGGTAGCTTTTGAAGATAAATGGAAAACTCACGTCATTTAAAATGCTCTATCACAAAAACTTTTAAATAGTGATAGTTTAGTTTGCCTAATCATGTAGTCTCATTGAAGGTCAAATTGTTTACAATTACCCTTGGCTTCTTCATATCATTTATTATATAGCAAATCTTGTCCTTATTACCTTCAAAATGTATCCAGAATCTGATCACTTCTCACTACATCTCCAAGTAATATCCTAGTCCATGCCCCATCAATTCTGGCCGTGGTTAATGCAATAACCACTTGTCAGCAAGTCAATTCTGACTCATGGCAACCCCATGTGTGTCAAGGAGAACTGTGATCCATAGGATGGTCAATGGCTGATTTTTCAGAAATAGATCACCACGTCTTTCTTGCGACGTGCCTCTGGATTGACTTGAACTTCCAACCTTTTGGCCAGCAGCCAAGTGTCTAATTTTTACCATCTAGAGTTTCTAACTAATACTTTCTCTTACTTCCTCTCCTACTGCTACCTGCCACCCTTCCACTCTGCTCTTGCCACATTGGACTTCTTGCTGTTCCTGGAAGATGACAGGCAGGCTTGTACACCAAAGTGTACAAGTGAAATACTTCTGTTCAATATCTGTATTGCTTACTCCAAGATCTCCTTCAAACCTCTGCTAATGCTGTTGTTGTTGTTAAGTGCTGTCGAGTCGTTTCCGACTCACAGCGACCCCATGCACAGCAGAACGAAACACTGCCCGATCCCATGCCAGCCCCACAATCCCTGCTATACTTGAGCCCAGAATCACAGCCACCGTATTAATCCATCTCGTTGAAGGCCTCCCCCTCTTCCGTCGACCCTCCACCCTACCAAGCATGACATCCTTCTCCAGGGAATGGTCCCTTCTTACAACATGACCAAAATAGGTGAGACGAAGTC